GGGTTGCCTAGTGCTCTTTGTTCTGTTTTTCTGCTTTTGACTGGGGAGGTGGGAAGGTGCTCGAGGTACGTTTGGTTTATGTTTCCTGCAGCAGAATAGCCACACCAGGAAGGCAACTAGAGGTCACACCATCATTCTAATCAAGAACACAATCTCAATAGAGGCTTCTCTGAGATCTTCTCATCTGAGAAGTGACTCAACTTCCCTTAGTTCTGACCACCAAGTGACAGGAGGCTCTGAGGTAGAGAAGAGGGGAATTTGGTTGGCAGAGATTCATGTGCTGACATTCGCTGCTGGAATCGCTGTGAAGGACCATCAGACCAAAGGCAGCTGAGATTTCTCCTTTTTGTTGAAATTTGTTGGACACAAGACTTATTCAAACATGTGGTTAAAAACCACTAAGTTAGATAAAGCCCAGTGTGATGAGGAAGGGTGTGGGAACAGGGTAACTGTTTGGGCTTCTTCCGCTTAACACCTACCCTAAGGATCACCTAAGTCTCTTCGTGTCCTGCTTAGAAACCTTCTGCAGTTCCTACACGCCCATAAGGGAGCTTACACTCCAGAACAGAGCATTCCCTCACTGCAGTTACTGTAGCTTTCAGACTCTCCCTTGTAGATGCTACATCCCTCATATCAGGCCACTTTGTTCCTTCAAACATCCTCCAAGTCTGGACTTTTGTTGCCTTTACCATGCTCAGCTGATAAACTCCTACTCATCCTTCAAGGCCCAGCTCAGACAATCACTCTCCTAAGTGGATTTCCTAGTCCTGTCACCCCGTGCCCTCACTGCTCTCCTAGTCTTTTAGACATCCCTTCCCAATCCCAATGACTGTGACTTCTCTACGAACAGTGTCATCTCTTGCTACTCTCAGTGTGATCTGCACACGGGCAGCACTGGCCTTGTCTGGGCACTGCAGGAATACAAACCGCCCACTGAATCAGGATCTGCCTTCAGAAAGATCTACCGGGGGTTCATGTACACCTCAATGTCTGAGAAGCAGCTCTAGACAGTGGTTCTCAACTCTGGTTGTGCATCAACGTCTACCCCACAGTCACTGAAATGCTAATGGGTGATGCTAATGGGTGGCCTGGGCCAAAAGCCACAGCAATTTGAGGATAGGGATTCAGCCTGAGCCTATTCCCCCAAATTCATAGCACAATACGCAGCGCTCAGCTGTATGCATAGAATTCCACACCAAAAATACCCTTCAGGATGGCTCTACACCTAACTGCCTTTGGAGCAGAATAAAAACACTAACGGCAGAGGATTGTTCACTGCCTAGAACTTGTGAACCCTTAACTATAATAGAGACATATTTACAGTGCTTCAGTCTGCCAGTCAAAAGAACAGAAACTGAGATGGAAAATACACATGAACTTTAAGGGACGGTTTTCCTTCAACAGACTACCTCGGTCGCAACGAGAGGCAGATCTGTGTAGGGGAGGAATGCGGGAAGCTAAGAGTCCTGGGCTAGGCCTGAAATCTGGGCTGTGGGCCTGACTCCCTCAATACCAACCGTAACAACACAACATTGTTTTTGAAAAATCAGGCCAAGCCCTCTCATTTTACAAATAAGGGAACAGAGGTCCAAAGAAGTTGGCAAGGCCACTCCACACAAGTTAGGGACAAAAGAAAAAGAAAGCATAGGACCCCGTTTCTGGGTTAGTCTAACCTCCTGGAGCACAGGAGACCTGACTGCCTACAAGCACACGCCTCTCTAGACCTCAGGTCCTGATCTACTGAGGGGGTGGGCAAGATGTTTTTGAGGTCTCTTCCAACCTTGACCTTCTAGTGAGACAGTGTAGCTTAACAGGAGAGTGTGTTCTGGAGTGGGTTTCCTTACTTATAAAATCTCCTTCGCTATAAAAGGGGGGTTAGCATCAATCCTACTCTATAAAGTTGTTGGAAACGTAAGTGGGATAATATATGTAAACCATTTAAGCATAGTGCCTGACACAGCGTAAGCAGAATTCCCACTATGAACTTGAAGAAGTTGAAAAACATTGTAACCATGTTTCACCAGCATAAAAGGGCCCCGCTTGCTAGGCTTGCTTTTTCTCCCTTTCACATTTGTTCCCTGATGAATGAGGGAACATATGTGAAAGGGAGAAAAATCAATCTAAAAGGCAAAGCACTGCTGACTGTGTTGTTCTATTATTATTATTTTCTTCTAGCAGAATAATCTTGGGGAGTTTTACAGTCAGTTCCAGAGCTGTGTCCAATACAATGGCACATAACAGGTGCTCAACAAGTCCCTTCTAGTAACTCTCTTCTAAAACCAGCATGTCTAATAGGGGGCATGACCTAGCCGGTAGCTCAGTGGTTAGAGCGTCGACTTGCAGACTGAAGGGTCCTAGGTTTGATTCTGCTCAAGGGCATATATCTCAGTTATAGGCTCTTTCCTCGGCCCTGGTCAGGGCCTATGTGGGAGACAACCAATCTATGCATCACTTTCACACCAATGTTTCTCTCTCTGTCTCTCCCCCTCCCTTCCACTCTCTCTAGAAAAAAATATCCTTGGGGGTGAGGATTAACAAATGACACCCCCCACCAAAAAAAACACACACACACAAAAAAACAACAACACCACACACATCCAAACCCCTAAACACCTTAAGCAGTCAGCTAAGTAAGTAAATAACTCAAGCAGCTTCTATGTAGGGACTGTGGCAAACTGCAAAGTACCCACCCTGCATAAAGAAATTCAAATTAAACACTCTCATGCGCATTACACTGTTTGGCTTAAGACGAGACACTTTGCAGTCTCTGCACATCACTGATTCTGGTTCTTCATCACCACAGTGCCTTGCACATCATCTGATCATCCTGTGATCACTGTCTTTCCAAGTCCACGATAAGCATCCTAAAGATGAAGGCTGTGGCTTATACTCCTGGCCATCCTAAAGGGCCTAGGACAGTGCAGGCCTCATGGCAGTGAGGAGACCTCACTCAGGGCAATTACTGAACTGAACAGCCTGGCTGTTAACTCAAGCCTAGCCCCTCTGTGATGCTGCAGGGTGCGCACAGTGTTCCAGCCAGATCCTGGGCCCAGGCTGTGCTGAGGTAGGTGACTGGGTCAAAGAAGGACCCAGATTTTTCCTTCGACACATTATCTCTGCATAGAACGAGATAGAATACACAATACACCCAAAATACCACTGTTTCTAATAAGTTTAGTCCCCACTTCCTGTACCTCACACCTCCTTGGCACCTCGCAGAGGCAGCGCAGGGTACTGAAAGATTCCATGTTCTGGAGTCCTCATCCTCACCTTGCCTCCTCTACTCACAAATTCCAGGATGACTGCTGGCAGGCAGAGTAACTTTTAGGAGCATCATCATTTTTGCTAGTAAAGTGCAGATAATACTTTATATACCTGTGGCGTCTTATGGCCTTTAGAGTCAAAAGGTACATAAAGCTCCTAGCACTGCACAGCCCGTGTGGCTACTGAGCATTTGAAATATGGTTACCACGAACAGGGAAGGGCTGTAAGTGTGAAACAGACACCAGATTTCAAAGACTTGGTATACACACAAAAATGTGAAATACCTAATTAATAATGTTTTTATATTGATTACATGTCATATATTTCGGAATATATTTACTTAAGTAAGATATATTAGGAGAATTAACTTCAGCTGTTTCTTTTCAATGTGGCTACTGAACATGTTTACATTGTATGCACTGTGTTGTATTTGTATCGGACATCACTGCTGTAGCACAGAGCCTGGCACACAAAAAGTATTCCCGCGCTGGTTCCCTTCCCCCACTGGTAGGGCATAAGGGGCCACGCCCTTCCTCCAACACTTTTTAAATAAACATATACAGTGCGTGGCCCTGTGCTCCATGCTGGAGACACGAGGAGCCAAAGCAGACACCATGCTCTTCCTTGGGAGCCTGACTGCTGGTGGGCTAGAGAGCCATGATACCTTCCTGAATCAATGCACCACTGCAGGTGGGCAAGCGCGGTGAAGGAGAAGTGCCCAGGGTGATGAAAGCGGGGAATTCACCCGGCGGGGGAGTCAGGGACCACGGATGCCTCTGGTCTAGAGGAAGTGATACTTGCATGGAGATCTGAAGGATGAAGACTTTACCGGACTCAGGCGGACTCAGGCGGGAAGAGAGGCCCAGGGAGCAGGAGGAAATCCGAGTGTCAGGATCCTGAGGATTGCGGGCGTCCGAGGTGAGGAGAGTGTTGAGCAAGAGGGATTCGCAGACAGGGAGGAAGGAGAGGTCGGATCTCCAGGGCTTGGGTGAGGACCTGGGGGTGAGGACCTGGGGCTGACCCTTCAGGAGCTGGGAAGCCCGCCCGTTTGAAAGGAGCCGAGTGTCCAGATGGGATCTGCCTTTGGAAAAGATCCCTCAGGCCGCGGGGAGAGGGCCGAGCGCAAGTGGGCGGGTCAGCAGGACACCGGGGCGTACAGGGGGCAGAGAGGCCCGAGCCAGGCGGGAGCGGGGCGATCGGAAATGGATGGAATGTAGCTACCGAGCCGGCGGGTGGGCAGGAGGGGTGGTGACCAGTGTCTGAGTGTGCAGCGGGGTGCGATGCCAAGAAGGGCTCCCGGGCTTCGAACACGTACCACCCAGCCCCGCCCAGACTCTATCCTCTCCCGTCCCTCTCCCATCTCCTCGCTCCCCACCACCCGTCGCGCCCCCAGCTCCACCCTCCTTCCCCCACCTCCCTGCGACCCAGCCCCCAGCCCCCGCTCCTCACGGCCTGGCCCGCCCTCTTTCCCACCCGACACCCCTCCCTTCCTAGTCAGGGACTCAGCGCCCCCTCCAGCCGGGCGGGCCGGCTGGGCCACGACCCCTTAGGAGCCTGCGAGCCCGGGCGGTGCAGCCCAGGCCCGCCCTCCCGGGACCCTCAGCCCCCAGGGCAGAGGCGCGCAGCAGCCCCCGGCCCCTTTCCGGCCCGAACTCGCTTCTCCTCGCTGCGTCCTTAGGGGCCAAGCCCTTCTCCGCAGCCCGCCACGACCCGGCCCCGGTGCGCCCCTCACTCACCAGGGCGCCGCGGACTGAGGCCCAGCTCCCAGCGCTGGGGTCCCGCTGCCGCCGCTCCTCTGGCCTCCGCCGGCCCCGCCTTCCCTGGGCCCCGCCCCGCGCAGGCCAACACGGGCTTTTATTGCTCCGTTTCGCCGTCACGCTGAACGCTCTTCCTTCAATTGGGTGGTTGGCCTGACAGTCAAGAAAGGGCGGGCCCAGCTGCCGCGGGAAACGCCGGGGGTCTCCGCCCGGCTAGCGGAGGCCTCTTAAAGACACAGGCTGCTTTCTCCCCCGTGGGGTATGGGATCCGGAGGAACGGATTTCTCAGCAAATGCAAGACGCAGCATTTTTTTTTTCTTTCTTCTTCAGACTTGTCTTTGGGCACACCCCGGGGGTGAAGAAAAAGGCTTTGATGCTTTGTGGCAAGTCAGAGGTTTTGAGCGCTAAGCTTGTCCCCTGGTGGCACTCAGACCCGTGCCGGGCAGTGGGGATAGCTAAGTGGGAGGTGACAGTCGTGTCAGAGGCTGTGAGCATGCTCACCACCGAGCCCTGGAGCTAATTATACCGGCACCCAGGGCTGACCGTGGGCGCTGAGCCGAGGCAGAGGGATACAGCTCAGCTGCACTGTGGAGAGAGACCCGGGGGCGGTGGTGGCATTTGTCACTGCAACTGCGATGGGAACAAGGCCGGCAGGGCTCCAAAGCCTCGCTCCTGTCATCTCCCTTTGCACTCACAGCAACTCTGGGGGAGGAATGATGCTGATGCCCTTCTTACAGACGAGGCAACCGGTCTTCCGAGAGGGCCCAGATCATACAGACAGTGATGGGCAGCACAAGACACCAGCTTGTGCTTATTGGGCTTCCAAAGTTCATGCTTTAACCATTTTATTTCACAGATCCGTACCACAGCTCTAGGAGGCAGGTCTTTAGTGGTCCGTTTTACAGATGCTCAGTGGAGGCTAACTAATGAAGCGGATGGGTACTCAGCAAAGGGACTCACTATTGACTGCCATTTACAGGGCACTGACCAGCCTGCAAAGCAGTTTTACACAGGTTGTTTCATTTGATCCTCAGAAATGATGGCGATTCTTGTTAGTCCTAGTTTACTGATGAATAAAATGATGCTCAAGGAAGTTTGAGGCTACAGTCCCTTGCAGAGGTCATCAGCAAACTTTCCACCAAGGTCCAAATAAAAAATACTCTTGGTCCCCATCACAGTCACTCAATTTTGCTCTTTAGCGTGAAAGCAGCCACTGACAACATATGAACAAGTGAGTGTGTCTGTGTTCTATTTACCTAACTGGCGGTGGCCTAATGGCAGTAATTTGCCCACCCATGGTCTACACTTTGCTGGCTACCAAAGCCTTTCATGGACTATAGCTTTGTGGGATCCTCACCTCCACATTGTTATCATTCATACTGCCATTCTTTATTATTGATGTATAATCTTGTTGATGATGCTGTTATCATCTTATCATTTCAAAAGGAGCAATCTAAGGCATGTCGATGTTAAAGACTGACCCACCCGAGGTTAATGCAGGAACTGGAAGGCAGGTGCAGCTCCCTAACCTTGCACCCTCTGTCCCCCACAGTGTGCTAGGAGATGACATGAGAGCTCCGCCTTGGTCTAGCTCAGCGGTCGGCAAACTCATTTAGCCAACAGAGCCAAATATCAACAGCACAACGATTGAAATTTCTTTGAAGAGCCAAAATTTTTTTTAAACTTAAACTTCTTCTAACGCCACTTCTTCAAAATAGACTCGTCCAGGCCGTGGTATTTTGTGGAAGAGCCACACTCAAGAGGCCAAAGAGCCGCATGTGGCTCGAGCGTTGCCGTTTGCTGAACCCAGGTCCAGCAGATCTCCTGCCTGTCCCTTGGAAGGATGACTGCTGCGTTCGTTTTACCTTTACCATCCCTAGGGGTTTCTCCTCCTCAAGTACCTTCTCCTCCGTTACACCAGCCCTCTCCCTCTCTGAGCCTTCACGGTGCTTCTGCCCAGCAGCCTTTAATATCACTGAGAATAGAAGCTGCTGGAAAATGGGTTCCCCGTGCATAGTGACTGAAGTGACACCTGCCAGCTGCCCACCGAAACCCCTTCCCCCTGCCTTTTACAGTCACGTGGCTGCCCAGCTAATTTCACTTCCCAGCCTCCCTTGCAGTGAGTAGCTAAGTCCTTGTCAGTGGACGTGATGTGTGAAACTTCAGGCCAGGCCTTTGGTCAGAGGGCCTGCCTCCTCCCTGCTCTCACCTTCTTTCTGGCCGGGCCCAGCCTTGACCTTATGATGAGGATGTGCTGGGGGGTGTCAAAGCCACAACATTGAAGGTGCCAGTGTCCCAGAATGATCACACGGAGTACTTCATACTCTTCTGTGAAAGAGAAATAATCTGTTCTTTAAGCCACGAACCTTTATTATTTTTTTGGGGGGGGGGAGAGGCCCTGCTTGTTAGAGCCAGCCCTGCACTTACACACCCTGAGAGTGAAAGCCCCCTAAGTTTTGTGCCCATGGTACCTCACTTGCCTACCCTAGTTATGACCCGGCTCAGTGCACAGTTTATCCAAGGAATGAATCATTCACTTTAGCTTACAATACTTTGTATTTTTTCCCCTGATATTCACAGGGGTGGCTTGAAGCTGGAGAACTAGGCTTAGAAAAAGAACAGAGACTGGAGACATTTGGGTGTTTAGATGGCCAATATGGATCAGCTCCATCTTTTTCTCCCCTTTATTGATCTTTCTTTGATCAATGTTGAAGTCTCTGGAACAAGTCCAATTGGTTGAGCTCAGATAAGTGTCCTCCCCTTAGCTAAAGAGGGTGGGCACTGATTGACAGCTCTATCAAGGCTGCACACAAGGGAAGAATGCCAAATCCCTCCCCCTCAACTCCCAGCTTCTACCCCTGAACAACTGAGGCCAGGTGCCCTGTTTTCAGGCTCAAGTAGGAGAATTAACCGAATCTGAATGTCATGATTACATCAACCCAGCAGTGTCTGGCACATAATAAAGCACAGTAGTTAAGATCCTTGGACTTTGTGACCATACAGAGCTCTCTGCTACTTACCAGCTGTGCATTCTTGTGGAAGTTACTACATTTCTCTGAACCTCAGTCTCCTCATCTGTACAATGGGGATGATAACAGTACCAACTTTAATGCATTGTAAATATTAAATGAGATACAGCAAAGGTACACTTAGCACAGTGTCTGGCACATAATAAGTGCTCAATAAATTGTAGGCAGTTTTAAAAGTTATAATAGATCTTCAATAAGTACTTACTGTGTGGGTGAATTATCTGTAGTATTTTGAGTTCCTCTAAAATCACATCTGAAACTGGAGTGTATTGAAATACCCCTCCCAGTTCTCTAAGCCACTGACCTTCCACATTTGTATAGTTCACCATCCCCTTTGTGGCCTCACCTCCCTCCTTCCCCAGCTTAGAGCCCTGGTCTTCATTATAATCACTCAATGTGTTCGCCCTGAACCCCATGCCCCCTTCTCTTTCCATCTACTCGCCTGGAAAACCTCAACACTGCTTAGCCTCAGCTCACCGCCTATTCTACACATGCACACAGCAGTGGACTGGGGCCTGAGAGAAAGAGAACCTTTCCGGCTTAAGTGGGACAATCCTACAGAGCCTGTTTCCATGGTCAGCTTACTTTCTCCTCCCCGCGAGCCTGTCTCATATCTTCTCCTCTCTTCTGCCTTCACCTCTTCACTCTTAGGTAATAGCCTTCTTATCTCGTTGACAAAAAAAAAACCACACAAAAACCCAAAGCATGAAGGAGAAAGCCATCTCCTCTTCTCCTTGCCAAGTCCACCGATCTACCTGCTTCAGTATCCGAGTGCTCTGCCTTCTCTCCTGTTACAATAAGGTGCCTTTTCTGATCCTCTGTAAAGGCAATCCTGCAGGAGTGCCCTGGATTCCATCTCATCTCACCTACTCAGAAACGTTGCTCTTGCAGTTATCCCCTTACTCCTGTAACACCAGTGCTTCTGTCAGCCCCATCAGCACCACCTCAGCTGTCACGTGGCCCTTCTGTGGAATGCTGGGGGCACAGAAAATGAAATCTTCACCATGGACTACAAGACCTTGGCTCGCCTGGCACTTGACTACTCTAACTTAATCTATTTATGTTCTCCCCCTAGCTCACTCAGCTTGAATCTCCCCCCCCCCCACCCCATATATTTTATTGATTTTTTTACAGAGAGGAAGAGAGAGGGCTAGAAAGTTAGAAACATTGATGAGAATCATCGATCAGCTGCCTCTTGCACACCCTCTACGAGGGATGTGCCCGCAACCAAGGTACATGCCCTGACCGGAATCGAACCCGGGACCTTTCAGTCCGCAGGCCGACGCTCTATCCACTGAGCCAAGCCGGTTTTAGCTCTGCTTTAATTTTATGGGTCTAATCTCTAATTCCTCTTCCTACCTCTGTGACTTGGTACTTGCTATTCTCTCTCCTGGGATGCTCTTCCCCCTGATCAATGCATGGCTTACTTCTTCACTTTTTTAGATCATGCTCTAATACCTCCGCGGAGAAGTCTTCCCTGAACTACTCTGTTTTCTCTAATCTAGCCCCTCAAACCCCACTCTGTTCCCTTAGCTGGCTCTAATATTCTTCGTAGCACTTGATGTCCTATTAGTGTTTTGTTTTCTGATTTCCACATATGTTGTAAACTCCGCAGCAGCAGGAATGTTGACTGTCTTGTTCCTAACTGTATCCCAGCACATAGTTGTAGATCATATCTAGTACATAATATGTGATTAGTATCTTATTTATTGCATCATTGAATAAACAAATTACAAGAAGGATTTCTGATATAGTTGCTTATAAATGTCAAAACCTATGTTTATGTGCTGAAAGAAAAAACCAGTATCTAATGAGTTGTGCTGGGGACTGTTAAATATGTCAACTCATTTAAAATTGTCAACGTCCTATAGAGCATAAGGAAGATTAAGGTTTAGAAATGCAAAGATGCTTGCTAAAGTCACACAGCCTGGCTGGTACCCAAAATATGGGTAGGCTGACTTCAAGGTATGTGTCCTTTTCTTTATTCTACTCAATGAGAACCATATACCTGGGCAGTTCATTCTTCACACTGTTCTTATTTTAAAATATGTATGAAGGCTGG